CCTCCCTAACCTGTCCGTCCTTCCACCTATCCCCCGCCCCACCCCCATCTCCTCCCTAACTCCCCACCTACACGCACCTTTTACTGGCTCCATCCCCACCTCTTTGACCGGTCTGTCTCCTCTCCACCTATCTTTTCTTCTATCCGCCTGCCGCTCTCCCTATTTATTTCAGAACCCCCTTCCCCCTCCCCCACTTCTGAAGAAGGGTCTAGGTTCGAAACTTCAGCCTTCCTGCTTCTCTATTGCTCGGCCTGCTGTGTTCGTCCAGCTCTACACCTTGTTATCTCAGATTCTCCAGCATCTGCAGTTCCTACTATCTCTGTATATTAATGGAACTGTGTTCATACATTAGTATCGAAGTTATTTCTTTTGAATATACAGAAAGCACAGTCCTTGTTTTCATTGGTAAAGAATAAATTTAAAATCCACTTGTTAATGCAGTTTCTAATTGTTCAACAGATTAACACCAAAAATTGGGTTCCCTTGGAGTGAAATAAGAAACATCTCTTTTAATGACAAAAAGTTTGTCATTAAACCAATTGATAAGAAAGCTCCAGTAAGTATTTATTTCTTTAACATTTTAATTTTTATGCCTGAACTAAAATTAAGCAGTTGAACTTTTTTTTTTTTTTTTAAAATCCCATTATTTAATCATTCAATCAATATGTTCAGCAATGCCTAGTAGCAATACTACTACCTCCTAATAGACTCCTTTTTGGAATAGAACATGTCTTGTACCCCCTTGGTACAAGGCATGCTTTCTAGTTTCTTGTGTATCTTGTCTTTTCTCGATCAGTCAGTTATTTTCTTTTAATGGGCATGTTAAATGTTGAATAATTGAACCTACCCAACACCACCCTACTGGCATTGAATTCTGGTTATGTTAAATCGGTCTCTATCTTATGGTAGAGGTGAATACTTAAATGGTTGAAAGAGAATGGGGAAGAAAAAGTAAAATCTATTGCATTTCTAATCACCTTCCAATTCTGAAAGGTTATTGACCAGAACCTAAACTGTTTCCCACTGCAGAGTCTGAGTTTCAGTAGGTCCATATTGTAGAGTTATGGGTTAATGTGATGAAAGTGAAGTGTCATGTGACAATGAAATTAGAAGTCATGCCCAAGAGTATGAGATAAGATAATCTGTACAATGGAGAGATGTATTTGGGTGGAGTGTAGAATTATAAATAGCCAGAATCAAGGGTCACTGCCTAAGGAAGCAAGGATACATTTTAGGACTGACGTGGAGAAATTTCTTCCGTGTGGTGAGCCTGTGGAATTCTTTACTTCAGAAAGCAGTTGAAGCCAAAACACTTTATGGTTTCAAGTTGTATGCAGCACTTGGGGCTGAAAGGATATTGGTAGGGAGAAGTGGGAACAAGCTATTGAATTGGATAATCAGCTGTGATCATCATGAATGGTGTGCAGGCTAGAAGGGCCAAATGCCTATACCCCTATTTTTATAATGGGTTATCAAGAAATATACCAGAATTTAACTCTAGTCATTCTAGGCAGAAACACAACTTTCCAACTTGGAACAGATCACAAAAGGCCAAAAGAGTGACACAGCATTCAAAATGGAGCCAAATCACAAACCACATCCTAATGTCTCTTATGTTTTCAAACATTTACAATATTTTGCTTTTTGTGGTGTTGATTTGTTCCCTTGCAGGAATGTTCATTTTTGAAGTTGTGCATTTTCTTTGGTCTTTTCTTAGACTTATTTTCTTGGGCTTGAACTTTGTAGGCCAAAATCTTTGCCTAATTATCTAGGAGCGTGGGTTTGAACCCTGTGCCATGGCAGTATGAACTCAGTTTTAAAAAGTAATGAGCCACAGTAAAGTGGCTAACGTTCTTCTAAAGAACGGCAATAAATGCTGGCCTAGCCTCATCCCATGAACAAATTTTAAGAAACTTGACACAATCTGCTCAAACCAATTAAATCAAAATTGTCTCGGCAGCCACAATAATGTAATTGAAGTTTTTCGCATGTGCATATGGCTCATTGTTTGTTTATGAACATGTTTGGATGTTTTAGAGGAAAATTTGTAAATTACTTTTATGGGATGTAGGCATCACTAGCAAGATCATCATTGGTGCTCATCCAGTAATAGCAAAGGAATGACAAGCCCCAAGTCAGGATGGTGAGTGGTTTTGAGGGGAACTTGCAGTCAGTGGTCCTTTATAGGTGATAAAGGTTGCAGTACATGGTACATCTAATTGTTTTTGTTTTTTTTTTTGTGTAGCCACCATAGAGACTGCATATAACTTCTGATCTGTTACACTATTGTGCAGCTTGCAAGGAATGCTTCTTGTGAAGAGCAACTTTCTTGCAAGTTGAGTTTAAGATGTAATGGATAATCTAAATCATAATTTAGATCCTTTATACTTCAAGGAAAGCATCTGAACTCATTGAGTGAATTGGATCTCATTGTGCATGTGAAAGCTGTTATGTTTGAAGGACAAGCAAGAGATGATCAATATTTTATCATGTCTGTTCTACCCTAATCTTGCCTATTCTAAGCAGTTATTTCCCTGTTATAGCACTGAGACTGTCCTTGCAAAGTTTAAATAATAATGCATCATAATTACAATATCAGACTATCTTTCCTTGTCTTTAAATCATACCTGCAATGTTTGAACTGAAACAGTCGATCATTCATTTCTCCTCCAATGGTTTCCCCCCCTCCACTGCATATTCTCCATGGGACATGCCTCCAGTTATAGTTAGTGCGTCTCCAGCAATTGCTTTTCCTTCCAACTATCATCTCTGAACTTAGTAAGCATCTATCTTTCTTTTATTGTCTTGATCTACTTGCTGTAGATTATCTCAATGGGCATTTGTGTATACAGATGCTAAATCCATCTGTCCACTGCGGTAATGTCTCTCGGCTCCACTGCTGTCTTAAGCAATAATCAGCAATAGAAAATTGAAGAGTGCTCAGGTCAGACAACATCTAATGGGGAGTGAAACAAGTTTAATACTTCAGGTCAAAGATCTGCTATTATAATTGTAGAAAATCAAATATAACAGTATAAGCAGAGGCAGTTAAGAGGGGTTTGGTATAGTGTCAGAGGAAAGGGCAAAAAGGAAGCTCTGTAATTAGTCAGTCATACAGCATGAAAACAGATCTTTTTTGGTCCAAAGAACATCCCACCAAGATCCACCCCCTGTACACTATCCCTGTAACCCTGCAATTCCCATGGCCAATTCACCTAACCTGCATATCTTTGGACTGTGGGAGGGAAACCAGAGCTCCGGGAGGAAACCCGTGCAAACTTCACAGCTGCCTGAGACTGGAATCGAAGCCAGGTCCATGATGCTGTGTGGCAGCAGTGCTAACCACTGAGTCACCATTGCTACCCCACATCACATGGTGTTACCTCACAAGGAGCTGTATCCACATCCTCCACTTCTGGTAGTTCAGTCCATATACAAACCACTTTTTTTTTTTTTAAAAAAAAAAAAAAAAGTTGCCCCTCAGTCCCTTTTTTTTTTTCTTAAAATCTTTCTCCTTTTAATATTATGCCCCTTGTCTTGAAATTTTCCACCCTAAGGAAAAGACACCTGCCATTCATCTTATCGATACCCCTCATGATTTTATAAACCTCCTGTAAAGTCACCCGTCAACCTCCAGTGGGAAAAAGAAGTCCCAGCCTATCTAGCATCTCCTTAGCTCAAACCCTCTGTTCCTGGCAAATCTTTGCTGAACCCTCTCCGGCTTAATATCCTTCCTAATAACAGTTGGAAGATTGGAGAGATTAAATGATGAATGGGTAATATTGCAAAGGTGAAGATGACTCATTACCATCAAAGAAAAAGTTCTTGAATATAGAAGCACTGTAAATAGTGTCAGCATAATGAAGCAGTTGCTATCTGTAGCCAATTAGGACATTGGCTAAGATTGGAAATTGTTCAACATGATGTTGTGTAGAATGTGGTAAGATAACTAATCAAAAGCTGAATCTCTTTCTTGGGCAGTATATTAATTTGTCTTTATCCTACCTCTACCCAGCTCTGCATAATTATTTACATTTGTTTCAGTATTCCATTGCACATTTATATAGTATTTAAAAGTTAATTATTTTAGCTAATTTCCAAACTCAAACAATTTTTCAGAAGTTCGTAGGAGTAAAGCTGACATGCATGTAGCAAGTATGACTGTACTCCCCTGAATGTTATTGACTAGTCCTAATTCTTTTTTAATGCAGGATTTTGTATTTTATGCCCCACGCCTGCGAATCAATAAAAGAATTCTAGCACTCTGTATGGGAAATCATGAACTCTATATGCGAAGAAGAAAACCTGACACTATTGAAGTACAGCAAATGAAGGCACAGGCCAGAGAAGAAAAACATCAGAAACAATTAGAAAGGTAAATAAAAACTGGGTTCAGTTCACCACCGCTCTTTTTTTTTTTACATGTGCGGATCTGCTATATCTCTTGGGGGTATTGGT